AAGATGCTGACAACGTTAATTATAGCTCTGTGAGCGCGACAATATAATTAAATCTCTGTGCAAAGACAACGACCGGAGCTTCCCAGGCCCGGGTGACATTTTAAAATAAAAGATCACGCCGATTCTGATGGCGGAGAGGTGAGCCGGCGTCCAGGGCCATGGCGTTGCATCGGTGCAGGACTGTAAGCAGGCAGAATTCAAGGCTAGGACTGGGGAGAAACTGCTATCCCTTCACCTTCCCCGCTCCCAAGTGCTCAGAAACGCTGGCGACATGCCCACCGTGTCAGCCCTGCCAGCATCACCCAGGCTGCAGCCAGGCAGGAGTGACACTATTATTCTTTCACTGGTTCTCCTCTGCTTAAAAAAGTTGTCAGCTCTTCCCAGATAAATTTAATTGGCCTTGCGGTCTATGTCCTTCGGTATCTGGGGACCTTGATGCTGTGATGTGTGGTGGTGTCCTGGGAGAATTGAAACAGGCCAATGATAAGGCGCTCCCGATCTCACTGTCAACAATACATGGAGTCCCTGCTGTAGGAGCTATTAGCCGCCTCTGATCTAAACCTCCAATTAAAGTGGTGATTAGGTCCAGCGAGGCATTCGCTGTCCATGAATTATTCATCTCCCTTCACACTAACAGCACCGGGGGGATTAGAATGAGAGCTGGTGAAAACAGAGGCATTTTAAACAGGGTTTTAACCATATACAAGCAAACATTTATCTTTGCAATTTTTCATCTTTGCTCCTTTCTGGGAGGGAGGCTCCCCTCTCCCCTTTGGGGAGACACAAATCCTGCGCGGCAGGAAGCTGGTGGGTGGCAAGCCTCGGCTGCCCAAGAGAGCAGCTTTTACAGCTCTCGACCCACTCCGGCAACGGTGACAGAGAAGGGGCGGCCGTGCTGGGGGGAGACCGGTGTCCTTCGAGCTGTGAGAGAGTCAGGAGCTCTGAGGCAGGAGCTTGTGAAATTGCAGATAAAAGACACATTTGGCTTTTGCTCAAAGAGGAGTCTGTTGTGCAATCCAACGGGCATCGGGCTTGCTGATGCGTGGGTGCCTGAGCAAGCAGGAGAGGGGGAAGGCTAGCTCTTTACACCTGTTTGCCAGTGGGCTAACACAGAGCATTTGGGCTGCACCCTGGAGAATAAAAATTAGCCCCCCTCTGAGCCAAAAACCCAGGTTGAAAAGGGTTTCTTTCCTTTACAGCCTCCCTTTGCTGCACTTGCGACTTGAGCTCTTGAGAGTCCAGTGCACCCCTGGACACCACAGTAAAGTGCCAGGGGTTGCCAACACCTTGCCCAATGCTGGCACTCCTGCCCCCGCTGCAGAGCTGTGCTGGGGGTCACCATTAGGAGAGGAAGAGCTATTACAACCCCATCCACTTCCTCTGCCCTGGCACCTTCCAGCATCACTTTCTCGAAGCAGGGGAAGCCGGTAGCCCTTTGTGCGACGCCAGAACAACCTTTCCCTTTCAAGCCCTTGGACAGAGCATGGAGCATAACCCAGAGGATTATGTGCCATCGAGTCTCTCCTTTTCAGGGCAGGCCGGTTGTCCTGCCTCTCCTCTATATATTCGCCCTTTCTGCTGCATATTACGGACAGGTGCGAGCCCCATCAGGTCCTGCTTTGCTTCTCTTCCTCCGGCACCCCCAGGCCCTCAGTGCTGCTCCCAGCCCGTGACGGCACGGACCCGCTGACTGTTTCACCCCCAGCACTGGATGCCGGCCTGGGAGCTCGGATCAAAAGGCCTTTTCAAAGCTTCGCCCATCTGCTTCTCACCTGGGACTTCCCAAAATAAATGAATCAAGTCTGCTCACGGCAGACCCCTTTGTAGACCTAGAGCGAATCTCTAACCAGCCCATCCCCTTCGTCGGTCCTGGACGGCGGGTCCAGAGGCATTTCCAACCCAGAGGCTGGACTGCAAGCTCTGCAGTTCCCCAGCGTCTCTCCTTGGCTCCTCTAGATAAGGAGCCGTGTTTGAGATCAATGCCTAGCTCGTCTCCGGGCCCTGGCTGCTGTTCTGCTAGGAATATGCAGTGAAGCGCAGAAAACAGGGCTAGAAGGGCTTGGTGAGGTCACTCGGCCCATCCTCCTGCCCCAAGGCAGATCAGCTCTACCTGTTCCCAGTTTGTCCGCTAGCTCGGTTTTCTGGAGTGCCAGCTGGCCAGTCCTGGAGCCTTCCCTGCCTTCAGCTATGCTAATTATTCTCTCTTGTCTCTTCTGATGTTTCCCGTAGTCTCATTTCTTTTTCATCTCTGTCCCCTGGGAAACTTCTCTCGGGTTCTGCCAGCTCTCCGAAACACGAAGGCAAGGCTCATCACTCCCTGTCCGTGTCTGTCGGAGGTCCCAGGCTGCTCCCTACCCCACAGGCTCCTCATAAGAAAGGCTCACCTGTGCATGTGGCGATATGGGGGGTATGCTCGATCTCGTCCAGACACCAGGACTGAGCTCTGGCCTGGGAAGAAAGCATGCTCTCGAGGGAAAACAAAACCCATTTGCACTACACATTCTAATCCAAAACAATCAATTTGCAGATGCTGAGCTGGGGCTCGGAAAGGCTTCGTCTCCCACACATCTTGTGGAGCCCGGGGCAACAGTTTTGATACCCTGTCATGAGAGGGCATCAAGATACATGGCAAGGTGGTAGTAACTGGGTCTCAGAGAGGGCTTTTAGCATGGGGACCAGGACTGGACACTGCATAAGGCAGGGATTCTCAACAAAGATACTGGGGTACCCAGGCTGCCTTGAAATCCTTTGAAGGGTGCTGTGAGCTGGGAGGAGATAAGCACAGGCCAAGTCCCGGACTTGCTATTCCCCTGCCTGGCCCCTCTGCAAAAAAGGTAGGTACTCTAATAAATAAGTTAATCTCTGAAACAGAGTGCTGGTCAGCTCCCAAAAGTTATGGAGGGGCGTCTTGAGTCTGCCGAGGGGCGCCTTGAGTCTAAAATGATTGAGAGCCACCAGCATAGGGAAACCACAGCAGAGAGGCTGAGCTCTGGAGCGGCTCCTCAACGCCTTGTCCTGCTCGGCAGATGGAGCGCTGCATTCCTGACTAACGGAGGCACTGGGTTGCACGTGCTATTTCCTTACCCTCATGTGGATCAGTTTCCTCTTCAAGTACAGGGAAATACAGACATCAAGGAGAGTTACAAAGACAAGCTACAAGAGGACAAAGGCTGGGAGGGAACAGAGAGGAAACAACGCACCGGGAAGCAAAGTTTGGCGGCTGACAGCCTGGCTCTGCTAGCTACCTTTGCTAGGCACCGATGCCAGGCAGAAGTAGGTCATCTGAGCTATATTTCCTTGGCATGAAAGCACTGCTAAAGCCGGCCACGCGGCACCACCGCAGAAGGCTCCATCACATCTCTTCCTAAGGGGGAGGAGGGGGAAGACCTGGTTTGATGAATGTGGCAGCTCCTCGCAGGCCTGTTTTCTAAATGCCCATGCAGGCACAGCAGGGCCCCAAGGCCGGGCAAATGAGACCGGAGCGGTGAGGGCAGAACAACCCCAGACAGGGAACACAGCCAGACGCACCAGGCGCCGCACTGCCCCGCGCGCAGGTGCTCTCCACACCTGGAGGCAGGAGGTCTGAACACTGCTTCCAGCAGCAGCTCCGAAGGTGACATCCTCTGCCATGTCTCTTGAAGTGAGGGGGATATTAGGGGCCTAAAAGTTTTCAAAGGAGCAAAAAAGGCTTGCCTCAAAAGCAGGGCAAGCAGACCTCTTGCTTCAAGTACCCAACCCTGTTCCACTTGCTGGGGTGGACTCGACTAAATCCCAGAGCTGGCTGCATCTTTAGTGGTGGGCTCAGGGGAGCAGCTCAGCTCCACGATTCGACACAAGGTGGAGCCCCTGGACCCAAGACAGTTTCCACTGCAGATCCTGGCCTGTGCTGGAGGCAGTGAAGAACCAGAACCGGCCTGTGACGGACCCTTTGCTGCGCTGGCACAAAAGCAGCGGCCAGATTCTTCCACAGACCAGCGCACGCGCAGCACAGCATATGCTGCCATCTCGATGCAGTGCACCCTCCTCCACCCCCTGCCATCAAGAAGGGATGGTGGGTTGGGGGATGCCTTTCTAATGGAGGGTACTGCAGGCAAAGTTTGCAGGCTGAGGGAGTGCTCCCAGGTTTAATGCTTCAACCCTCACTGGGGATGCAGTGCCCTTTGCACCTGTCCCCCACAGGGCCAATTCTCCCGCTTTCCAGTGCACTGCTATAGGGTAAGGGTTCACCGAGAAGGTGGATATGGAAAGGCAGGAAAACTAAGGAACACCCATACCAGCTTCCTTGCTATCATTGCGCTGCAGTACCGGAGCTCGCTGAGCCTTTGGGATCAACAAAGTGCCATGGAGAGGAGGCTGATCCAGCCTCCTGGAGAGAAAGACCCTGACCAGGCCTGGCAGCTGTCCAAGGGGATCAAAAGGAAAAACCAGGAGGGTATGCTTCAAGCAAAATCCCAGCAGGCAGGCAGGATCAGACCCTCTTTCCCAGGCTCCAGTTGATAACTGCTCCATGCTGCATCCCAAGAGGAGCTGACTTAGCTCTACCTTTTCCTTCTGTACCCGGTAAATGCACTTACCTGTACCTCTGGACAGTCCTAATATGGTTAGCAAAATACATGAGACTGTGTCCCCATCAGTGCAAACATTCACTGCAGCCGAGAGAAGTCAGTGCTGGGCTGTAGACACCGGTACTTATTTATGATATGAAATGGAGGGATAATGCGTGCTGCCAGCTCTTCTCACACAGCTCTGCAAATTCCCCATTACCCCCTTGCTTTTGTTCATACCTGACCCACAGCATCCCCTGCTATCCTAGCCCCAAGTTTCCCCACTCAGTTCTGCTGCTGCCCTCTTGGTCCCAACTGGCAGCTCCTCTACCCCAGTCCTGAATTGTGGCACCTTTGGAAGCAGTCAAATGTGCTCTGTGATCAGAAGAGCAAAGAGTGCTTAATACCAAAGCAACCTCAAAGCCGTTTCCCCCGCTAGGGAGAGGGGATTTGTACCTGGGACACGGACTCCATGTAGGGGATTAGACAGGGCCATTCCAATCTCAGTCATCCCGTATCTCTCCAGCAACGTGTGTCCTGTGATGCTCTTCCACTTCTCCAGGACAGGCACAGGCAGGGCTGCAGACCCCGAGACCATTAACCTGTGCAAGGGAACACCGCAGGAGAGGATAACTCATGGGGCCTTTGCTTCAGAGGGTGACTATTGTGCTGCAAGAATGCTGGCCACTGGATTGAAGCAAGCATGGAAACATGAGGGGCATACCCATGCCATCCTAATGTCCAACCTACCCTCCTGGCATGCTCTGCCTTCAGCTCTAGACAGAAGTGCTGAAAAGCAAAAGCATGCACACAGCAAACCTCTCCCAGCACCTCTTTGGCAGCCGTGCACAAGATCATCTTGCAAATACCTGAAATTATCCTGGCACAGGGCACGCACAAAGTCCCGGGTGTGCGGCTGGGAGAAATGCCTGTCGTAGTGCTCCATCAGCTTGGAGTAAATGGTGGGCACGGCCATGAAGACGCTGATCTGCGAACCTTTGGGGTTTAAGAACTTCTCCCAAACCTGAAGGGAGAAAGAAAAGCCACCTAAACACAAGAGGCCAGAGAGAATAGACCTCCGTGCCCACAGCGCCGCTGTTAGCCCTCTGCAGATGCCTTTAGGAGAGGGCTCATGAACCCGCACCTCCCAAACCCTTCAGATCCTGTGCCACATTCATTAGTACGACACACAGGGACACCAAGGCGATGGAGGGGAGGACTTGCTTATAGTCATGGTGTGTGGGATCTGCCATAAGCAACATCAGCACATCGGTGCAGCTAGTAGGACAGTGCTGCCCAATGCTTCGGACAGATGCACCCATAGCAAGCCTGCCACCTTGGACCCAGCCCAGTTATTCAAGCAATTTTGGACCCCCAACACCATCTATCAGCATGAGCCCAGACTCTCTTTCCTTAACAGGGAATTGCACAGCTGTCTCCCTGGCAGTCAGCCCGTGTGGGATGACACCCAGAAACAACATGCTTGTGACTTGGGTGTGGCGGATGGTCTCCTTGAGCAGATGCAGTCCTGGGCAAGCCCTGCAAAGCCACCAGCTTTTCAGTGCCCACAGGTCCCCTTCACGAGAGGAAACAGCCTACTGACCACTACAACGCAGATGCCTGAAC